GTGTTGACCTCTCAGACAAGAATAAATGTAACCTCTCAGGTCTTTATAAGTGTTGACCTCTCAGGTCACCATAGGTGTTGACCTCTCAGACAAGAATAAGTATAAACTCTCAGGTTTTTATAAATGTTGACCTCTCAGGTCACTATTAGTGTTGACCTCTCAGACAAGAATAAGTGTAACCTTTCAGGTCACTATACAATGTAAGTGTTGACCTCTCAGATCACAATAAGTGTTGACCTCTCAGATCACAATAAGTGTTGACCTCTCAGGTCACTATAAGTGTTGACCTCTCAGGTCACTATAGGTGCTGACCTCTCAGGTGAGTACATGTGTTAATCTCTCCAGTCACAATAAGTATTGACCTATCAGATCCCAATAAGTGTAACCTCTCAGGTCACTATACAATGTAAGTGTTGACCTCTCATGTCACAATAAGTGTTAACCTCTCAGATCACAATAAGTGTTGACCTCTCAGACAAGAATAAATGTAACCTCTCAGGTCTTTATAAGTGTTGATCTCTCAGGTCACCCTCTTAGGTAGGTCTCATAAAGTGTTGACCTCTCAAGGTACTATAAGTGATGACCCCTCAGGTGAGTATAAGTGATGATCTCTAAGGTGAGTATAAGTGATGACCTCTCAAAAGTTTTAACCCCTTAGTATATGAGATAGTGTCTCAGATCAATTCAAGAAGAGCCCTTACAGACTGCTGGACCGAGTGCAAACCTATTGGTAGAACTGGTTATACCCATAAATACAACGGGGTTCAGATCAATCTGAATTGTAAGATCATGGTAATTAAATGAAATTCAGGGGATATAATATATTCTTACACCTAACACAATAGTTTGCAAAGTTAAGAGACATATATATTCTTATAACCAAATAAAGATCTGACATCTCCATAAAATACGTAATAGTTTTGCCTCACAGACAAGTCAAATATATCATTTACCGGTATGTATTCCTATAAATACTTGGCTTGAAATGTTGTATCACATTTTTTATCTGAGAAGAGGACAATCCATATTGCTTTTTCGTAAAGAGACCAATGTAAGAGGTAATGTGGTCTACAACACTGTTATGGAGACTTGTGGTCAGAGTGGTGTGTCCACCCCTGCCCAACAGTTACCTGACACACCTGTAATTATCACCTGTGATTTTCACCTTAGACTTAAATGTGTAGAAAGACTAACCATTTATCAGTAGCAATAAATATTTTGGTAACCTGACTCTCTATAACTAGGTTGATACCTGTTAACACCTATAATTATCACTGACCTTAACTAACTGTCTCGGAGTGGGTCCCTAAGGAGTAGTAATTGACCGGTAATCTGACTCTTCCTACCCTTGTAGATGTTCGTTAACACCTGTCATTATCTCCAGTGCTAACAACGACTGACCAGACAGGTGTAGTTAGTTTGTTACGAGCAATATATCAGGTGTAATTGGGGCGACCAGAAATTGTATACTAGGTACAACGACCCCCACAGAATGCCACAGACGATCAGCATGACAAATTGAGCACCAATAGACATTCGATGTTCAAGAGATAAATGAGGATGTGGAAACCCAATCTAACCTCTAAAAGTATTCACGAGAGAATATGCTGACTAGCTTAACAGTTAGCTGTTGGTAACCTATAAAAACATATCATATTTGATATAAGTTAATATACCCTTTTTTCTTAAAAAACTTCTTCAATGCCGTGAGGTATAGATTTATAGGTTTGTAAATTGTCAGGGTAGAAAACTATTAAATGTGCATAGGGGTCAAATATGTGAAAGATTTAAATGTTTTTTTCTTCCAAACCATGAGACAGTCATCATAAATGCTTATTAAGCAGAAAGCTGGAGAGGAAGTCAACTTTGTCTTTGTTAAATCAAAACTTCAGAGTATTCTACCAAGTATGACAGCTATTGATCTTCTATATTGACTGGTGGATTGTGAAAAGATTCATAAAGCACAATTGTCACAGAAAAACAGGACGAAATAAAGGAGCAGAGTCACGTACATCGCTAGGGAAACGGAAACCTGTGTATAGGGAAAGAAATTCACCCCATAAGAAAGAAAGCAGTCAGAGTCCAAGATCAATAAATTGGCAATCACAGACCATGCCACACAGCAAAATCATGTGATTGCCTGGGATAACACCAAAGTATTGGACAGAGAGAGCAATCTGTTCAAGTGGTATATAAAGGAAGCCATCTGGATACGCCGCAGTGGGCCAGTTTTGAATCGAGATGAGGGGGCTATTAGATATAGGTACCATTGAAACGTCACATATAAACACTTTAAGGTTGTGGTTCATGAATCTTTTCACAATCCATACGTACCAACCTGAAGATAATGTAAAGAAATGACTGGTTGGATGTCTATCAAGTTTATTCAAACAAAAGATCTTGATCCACTGTCAATGTCATATGTGAAAAAATACTAATATGACTCCTCAATAACACAGTTCCACAGAGTTGTGATATTTGGCTAGCTAGGGCAATGGGATATCAATTTTGCTCAAATTAATGTCAGACTCAATCAATATCAAGGTCAAAAGAGTCAATATGTTATTTAAACATATACCCTTCAACATTAAGTAATATTCCTACTTGTATCATACACTTTACAAATACTTAAGTCCAAGAAACCTGTGTTATGTTCCTTTTGAAACTGTTGCCTAATAAAAGGACAAAGAAGCAGGTTTTGATCACCGAGGAAATATTCCTTGGATACTGTATTTGTCACATGACAAAAGGCCCAAAGAGCTTGTATAATGCAATTACAAGACAAAAAGGCCCAAGGAGCCTGTATAACACAATAACATGAAAAAAAGGTCCAAGGAGCCTGTATAATGCAGCTATATGACAAAAAGGCCATAGGACCTGGTACATGCACCTGTCACATGACAAAATGCACACAGCAGTAGTATCTGTCAAATGACAAATGACCCTGGCCACATACATAACACAACAAAAGCTCCAAGGGACCTGATTTGAGTGAGTAGAAAATGGCTCTTAACAAGAGGCCCATGGGCCTTAACCATCACATGATATATTTATTCAGAGAATTGATTTAACACGAACAGAAATATTATTCAGTGACAAAAAAAACCCACCCCACCTTATTCAATATCTAGCATACAGATTTAAGACTAAAAAGCATTTGAAACTAGCACCTCTGATTCTAAACAAGGAAAATGAAGAAATTTTAGCACACTGACTCCTTTGAGCCCCACCCTATAGCCCTTGGGGGTAGGGCTGGCTCAAAATTTTCAAAGTATCAAACTGTTAACTCGGGTTATAATTCCAATCAAGTTATTAACATGTAATATTCAAAGTATCATTTGCCATTATAGAAGAAGATTTTTGAAATTCCAGTCAATTCGACCCTTTTTAGCCCCCTCCCATCAGCCCCGGGGGGTCAGTCAGGGCTCATATGTGCATACCATCAAACTGCTACCCAATACTGATAATGCTAAGTCAAATTGAATTACCTCCAATGGCAATTAAACAAATGTTGGTCCAAAATGTGATTTCCCAATATAAACTATAGTAAAGTTTACACCCTCCCCAGGGGGAAACGTGAGACCCCAGGGTCAAGAAATTCACAATTTTGGTAAAGCACCTTAAGACCCTTCCATCTATGAAGAGTATTTGATTCTACCATATCTGGGTCTTGAGAAGAAGATTTTTGAAATTTTAGTTAATTAGTTAACACTAAAGTTTGCAAAGTTAGGAGACATATATATGCTTATAACCAAATAAAGATCTGACATCTCCATAAATTTGACCCTTTTTGGCCCCGCCCCTCAGGCCCCTGGGGGCTGGGGACCAAACCGGCAACTCTTTTTGTTGACCTTTGGCCATGGAAGCTTTGTGCAGAATTTCATTGAAATTGGTTGAGGGGTTTTGGAGAAGAAGTCGAAAATGTAAATTGTTTATGGACGCACAATGGACGACGACGGACAAAAGGCGATTGCAATAGGTCACTTGAGACTTTGTCTCTGGTGACCTAAAAATGACAAATAAATGACCGTTCTGTAGTCGGTTTTTGTTCTTGTAGAGCTCAACTATTGTTCATGTTCTTTAGAAAATGCTTCATTGCTTGCTTCTAAATGTTTTTCACCAGATTACTTTGTTAATTAGTAATATTTTGATAACAACAGGGAACTTACGCTGGTGGACAAATGTTCATGTTACATGCGATGGTTTGGGTGGCAGGACGAAGGTTGGGGTCACAGTTGTCTATCGTCACAATGACATTGGTGTTTCTCTTCATACACACCACCTTGGTCTGTTGATTTCCTGGAAAAACAAAAGCAATGTCATATAAAACATCTTGATAACATCATTTGGCAGTAAACAAACACGTGTATCATTGTACCCACAAATAAATATATACTTCTGAATGAACTGAAACAAACATTTCAAAGAAATGAATTACAAACAAAATTTTAACTTTATTTAATATAAATTCAAGTCATAATTGATTTGAAATGAAGACTTGAGACCAGCAGCAACTGTTATTATTAATCTTAAATTCCATCCATTAATTAATTAATAGGTATCTTAATTCAGAGATTTGATGTGTTTCCTAAAAACAATAATGTGTATTTATTACCTAATATGATCTAGGATAATTTCATTGAAACATTTGATGTAGACATGGAATTGCATGCTGCTGATCTGTTTGACAACATTGAATATTTACCCTTAACAGCTGAGCACTGAATGAAATAGTCAAGTCTAGGTAGTGACACTGCCGTCACTGCAAATATTGGTTCTCGACCCAGTCTACATTACCTGTCAACATTACATCATTGTTTTGCCTACATATTTATCTGTTTATATTGGCAGTAGCCCTGTGTTGTTATAAGAGACATCCTCAAACATCAATCTATTGTTGATTTGACATCATGGCAATAATTACATTGACAAATTCAGAGTTATCTTTTCCTGGTAAAAAAAAAGTGTCCATATTCTTGTCAGTAGGGGAGATAACTTGATACAATAAAAGCCAATGTAGCTGCAGGAATATACAAATATATACTGTTTGATGGGAAAATGTGTAATTTGGATTTGTTTAACCTAAGAAATCTTTGAATCAACAACTCAGTGACCTACATTTTTATGTAACCTGACAGGTATTAAAAACATTATCTGTAATTTTCACTTTCATTTCATTTATACATAACAAGCTTCTTTTAAACACGTAAGTGGTATACTGGAGCCAGAAGTCGGCCACATCACCCAATAACTACGTCTTCAATAGATACACATCAGCAATGTAGGCAGCCCAGCCCCTAGGCCTGCTAAACAATTTAAATTTGGTTATTATTCCAAGCATTAGATCATTTTGCCGAGTTTCTCAGGTCTCATGATAACTGGGCAGGACTCCTGGAGTTTGTGTGTTGCCCTGTAAATCCATTATCCGCCCCCATTCATACTTTCCTTAAATATCCTGACTTTATTTCTGTTCAATATCAGAAGCTAGTCATTTATCTTTCAGAGGGTAAACAATTTTGGCATTTATTTTGTGATTTTTACAACAATAGTTTAAGATATGTCAACATTTTATCTAGAACGAAGGAGTAAGAAGGGATGCATTATGCAGAGTGCCACGTACAAGGCAGACTTTGCACTGAAATAACTTCCCCATTACATAAACCTATCATCTGCAGCTCCTGAAATTGTTTATCACTGAACCAATTAAAATTCTAGTTTCTTATGTCTGTAGAAAGGGTGCATTAAAAAAATCAGGCGATCATTCAACTAATTTTAAAAGAGCAAAATTAGTTGAATGAACATCACGTGGTCAAATGATTCACATATATCTTAATGACAGGATAACCAGACAGTCTGCAAGCTGGATGATCAAAGACGGTCAATACAGCATAATGGAACAGTTTAGTGATAGAGATATCTAAGTTGATAAAAGTTCTATTTGATAAAAGAGGAAAGAGCAAGTCTCATTAAAGTTGACTGACAAGACACCAAATATTCCGGCAATAACATCGATCACTCTGTAACATCAGAAATAATTTAAGAGACGGATTAAAATCATCAGCACAGATAGGTCACTGATAGGTCACAGAAAGGTCACAGATAGATCACAGATAGGTCACAGATAGATCACAGATAGATCACAGATAGGTCACAGATAGATCACAGATAGGTCACAGATAGGTCACAGATAGGTCACTGACCTTTGGAAGGCCTCATTATGTTGATCTTTCTCAACTTCATATCAAAATTTGGCATCGAAGTGAGCAATGTTTCAAAAACAGACAGTGCACTCTACAAAGATGGAACTTCTTGTCTATCCAACTCAACAGCCTATATTACCGGTGCAATTGAGCAGCAACGGCATACACATGTTTCAACAGGTTGACAAAAATTAGCATAAGTTTAGATCTGCATCTAAGTACATCTAAATGGGAACTGATATGATCTGGGAACAATGCCTAAGGATAGCCGTCATACCTCAGGTCATTCTTTAAGTATATATTTATTTAAGTTATGGCTAGTCTGGTTCAGCTTATAACAGACCTTGTGTCACTTGTCCAGTAGTAATTTGTTATGATTAAAATTGATATTTTACGACTGTTTCACTGATTGTAATAAGTGCAAAAAATGACATTTTTAATGCTGCAAACATAGCAGACATTAACAAGTGAACAACTCATCCGATATCACGTAATCTGGCAAAGATTTATTTACGAAAGCCATCATGGTCACTGGCAGCCAGGTAATTTTCATATTTGGTTTAAACAAACTTGTGCAGGTAGTAGCAGCTTGATGAATGTGTAAAATTTCATAAAAATCAAAGTATCTTTTCAAGAGTAATCATACACAAACCATGTGACATTTCATGAAAACCAAGATGGTGGCAGACGGCCATATTGATTTTCAGATTTAGGTCAAATCCAAACTAAGCGATTGATTGACACAGTAGGCATTGGTAGAATATGTTTCATTAAAATAAAAGCAATCCTTCAATGGCTATTGTACAAACATTTTGTGCAGATGTCAGAATGATCCTGGTATATCATCTATATTTTACAGGTGACACAACAATTAAGTTTAAGACAGTAAAATTAGAATATCATTTTTTTGTAACTCTATATATACATTCAAATTGTTACTCTTGTAACATGATATAGATATGGTAGTCCATAGTTATAGAAAAATGAGAATGAAGTTTTATACAACAAAGTGTCTTATTTCTGTTGGCGACTTGTTTTCATATATATAAATATATGGATGTATTGTTAAGATTACTGAATTTTTAAGGATGGTCCCTTTAATGGACACTGGACTACACAACAGGATGACAATTCAAATACCTGATGCCCCACAACCCAGCAGGATGACGAAAGGGCACCAATAAAACAGCGATATGGCAAGTTTTGTGGGGTGGTGCGTGGCTGATCGCGATCTTTATGTAGCTGATATATAGATATACCTACATCATGGAGAGACCAGCAAATCACTCATGCATATAAGTAAAGGTCATCCTCCAAATGTCCCAATTTGTCAAATTCTACTGAAAAATAATTTCCTGCCATAACAATCTGCTGTAACTGAATAAGGGACAGAAATGATACACCAATTTGCATTTTGATTTTTTCAAAATAAAGATATGGAAGGTACTGTGTACTTTTATAAAGTTTTCTAGAAGTCTTGTGTCGTATTGCCATTATTATATATGTGATGATATTACCGTAAAAAAAATGTCACTCTGACAAAACAGCAAATTAACCTCGGTGAGGTAATCCTATTTAGAAAAACACTACTTTTATATTAATGTCAGATTCAATGACTTGGCGTACTGTGCTGATGTTTTTCGCCAATATTGGAGAATTAAGTCGGCCATTAAATTATATTGCACTTGCTTTGTTAGGGGAGTGATAAAAACAACCTGATACCAGTAAGTGTGACATATTCCCTGACATCCAACGCAATCTTGTTAGCCACTGGACACCTCAACTAAAGCAAGAACACTATAAAAACAATTATAATAATGATAATAATATACAGCATTTGATATAGCGATATTGAGGGAAAGGTTACAGCAGGTCTGGTGATTTCTTTTTAAGTATGGGAAAAGTGCCAGTAGGTTTGGTGATTTCTTTTTAAGTATGGGAAAAGTTACAGTAGGTTTTATGATAGTGAAAGAAAATATGAAGCAGATTTAACAATAGTAAGGGAAAAGTTACAGCAGGTTGGGTGGTAGTGAGGGGAAAGTTACAGCAGGTTGGGTGATAGTAAGGGGAAAGTTACAGCAGGTTTGATGATAGTAAGGGGAAAGTTACAGCAGGTTTGATGATAGTAAGGAAAAAGTTACAGCATGTTTGATGATAGTAAGGGAAAAGTTACAGCAGGTTGGGTGAAAGTATTGGGAAAAGTTAAGCAGGGTTGGTGATAGTGAGAGGAAAGTTACAGCAGGTTTGGTGATAGTGAGAGGAAATATACAGAAGGTTTGTTAAAAACAAGAAAAAGGTACAGCTGGTCTGGTGATAGTAAGGAAAAGTTCAGCAGCTTTAGTTACAGCAAGGAAAAAGTTATAGCAGGTTCAGTAACAGTGAGGGAAACTTTTGACACATCCAAAACCAGCACCAGGAGCTCGAGCTGTATAACTTTAATAAAGTTACTTTGTCCAAATATCACCAACACGCTGAGCTGCTTTAGTTCATCTCAAACTTAAAACTTTCCTGCATATTTTTATCATTATTGTTACAGTAGAGACTATATGTGAAAGATGCCACTATTCATCACGAGAGTGAATGGACATACTCCAAGTGAAAATCTGTAAGAAATATCAACAGATGTTAACGCTACCTTAAATTGTTTGAATTCAAGCATTAAAATGGTATAGGAACTGTAAGCCTGATTTACATGTTTGCAAGTCATTTCCTTATAACTGCTTAATTAGTGAGTTTAGGCATGTGAACATTGTTCCCTAATGCCTGTGCCTGCAAAATTAGGAAATTATTTTTCCTGTTATATGGGGAAAATCTTCATTATTCTTTTTTGATTTGGGGGAAATTATACATTTTTCTGGCTAGGGGAATACACCTGTTTTTGGCTGTAAAACAAGACAAAGAGAAAATTACTGTAACAATGGTTAATTGATTAGCTTCGACCCCAACACTGGGATATTTTCTTTATTTTTTTTTTGAACCAATGCTAATATTACCTCCTTAGGATTATCATACTTCAGTTTACACTTTTTCCTCCTAGATTTAAATCTTATAAGTGCAGCCATATTAACAGTCTCAACTGTCAGTGATATGGTAGTTTTC